TGTGACCCGGCTTTCCCTTCATTACTTTAAATGGCTTTCAGTTCCAGTTTATACGTATTCGCTTTATATGGACCTTCGGTTAATACGTACAACTTAAGATGGTTCCCCGTTCAAATTCGGCCCCGTTAGTACGTTCTGCAGGTCATAAATCTCAGCATATGCACAGAATTCTCAGCATCATTCGCATTCTGTCCTCCTTCCCGATTGTGGCGCCTATATCTGACAGATGAGATAACCAAGCAAAACGAAGAAGCCTCCAGTCGCGCGTCTGCTTACGATGTACAAGTGGCATGGCTGATGTACTGTATGTTCAGTTATTTCATTGAAGACTGGGATTTGGCCTTATGGTCGCTTTAGTGAGGCTGCTGCTGTATACACGGAGGTTTCAGTCAGGGCGTTTGAGTGGAAGGGTGATGTCGCACACGTGCCGGTTGTGAACGAACTAGTATCTGTTGAATGTAACGAAGTTTTGGCAGTGGATACTTTGCCGGAAAGTAATTGCTACCGTAACTGTAAGGTTTTACCTACACGAATTTCGTCGGAGTTGCGCTGGGTGAGGACTTACTGCTCCGTAAGACAAAACCGGTACAACCGAAAATGGCTTGTTCGAAACCCCTTTTACCAAGTGCTGGGACCAAGAAGAGAGCCCTTTCACTTGATTAAAAGGTGACAGCCATTACGAGGGCAGAAAATAAAGAAAAACAAGTGGACGTAGCGCGGGACCGGTGAAGAAATACAATTTAATCAAACCTTTGCTTAGTAAGTACTTATGAAGGAGAGTCGACCTATACTGAATGACTGTCCTTCGTTTGGACGATGTCACTGGAAGACCGATTGGAGCACCCGCATTGCAGAATAGGCGCGTATATCGGTTGCATATCCCTTTTCGGCTGTCAAATGAAATGAATTCACGATCACCGTATGGGATATCCCACATATATGGTTGTCATGTGGTGATCCATGCATTGTTTTCGACGAAGAAAGCAAAGATGCCATTAGCTACAGAGCGTGGAACTCCCTCAAGGGAAGGACTGCACTAGAATGCCACGACTCACGGCGAGTACGAGAAAGCAAAAGTCTTCCAACTCGAACTTTGATATTTTAGCGATTCACATAGTTGAAAGCTTGTCCAATGAAAATAAAAAACTAATCGTTCAACCCAAGCTTTTGCTTCCGTCAAAATTAATGAGTCAAGAGTCATGGAACCAGAGGAGGTGATTTTTCACTATGAACCATCTTCCACTAATCCATGGCACTGGAGGTATCCATGTGGTATCCATGGCATCCTACGTCTTGGAGAAATAAATTTTTCAATGATTTTTCCCTCGTATGGGGATTTAGAAAATGGAACAGATTTGTCGCATGCATTACAGAAAATGTGACCATAGGTATTTGCATGTAGTAGATAGGTGCCTATTTTTCTACCTATCGGCCGATAGGGAAACATCTTCAGGATAGGAGTACATCTAGAGTAGAGAGTTTAGACCAGTGGTAGGTAACTGGCGGTCCGCGGAAGCCCTCCCTCTGGCCCGCGAAGACCCGCGTATGGGGCATTACGGTCTGACAATAGACGTTAAACTGCATGTTTGACATGAGAAGATTGATAAAATTTTCATTTTAATGAGCCTTGGTAGATGCTAGCTCGCGAACGTTCAGCATCTTACCATCCGGCCCGCCGTGAAATTTGCCGTGTTGCCGACCACTGGTTTCGACCCTTCTCCGTCTTTTATTTCGTCTATCCTTGATGTCTCTTCCAAAGACATGTTTATATTGATTGAACGACGTAAATACATATCAAATTTGTAACTATTAGGTAGGTATTCTCGGTGGAAATAGTTATGCTGTCGTAACTGTATATCCATCACAGTGAGTGCAACGGGCCACTCGCATCCCAAAATGATCCATGAATCGATGAAAGCTTGGACTCTGAACCACTCCAAGGGGAAAGATTATTGAGGTCAGCTACGTTTATAAGGACAGACAGCCCGAGTAAAATCGGTGTTTCAAATAAGCAGGCAAATTGGAAAGGAATTTTCAACTCCTGATACCATATATCTGTCTCGCACCACGATATTGCCACTCACGAGCGGGAACGAGAGGAAAAATCCGTTGCGAAAGCATGAGAAAGTTGCTCTGAATCCGTGAGCCCAGGCGGAGTTCTTTTGTGTTCGACCTAGTCATGGTACGAATGCACATTCTTGAAATCATTTTACTCATACTCCAGGCTAGAAACTTTACTCGATCACATTGTGCGAACGAGATAGTTCAGTTCAATTACGAATTCGAATCCAATATCTGCTCAGCCGCCCCAATGGTTGGAATAGACTTACCTGTTCTTCAATGAGCTTCTGGATAAAGCTACAGGATGAAACTAAGAGCCATTCAGTTAGATGACGCAAAGCAAATTTCTCGTCCTCGATTCTTTCTCCATATCTCCGTCGGTATGACTCTGACTAGGGGCGAAGGACACAGCCTGAAACATGAACGTGCAGTTACTCTAACGGGTGCCAGAATATCGGGGCATTTTACGATCACACAGGGACTGGAGGAGCAGTCCTTCAATTGATTATTTGAAAAGCTTCTACATATAGCACAATAAATTAGTTTATCCTTCCTCCTCTCCAAATTCTTTTTTGTAACTTCAACGAAAAGTAGTTCATACAGGTGTGAAATTCAGGATATCTAAATTTTCTTACTTCGGTTCAAATCCCCATTCAACACTCCACGAATCATCTTGCGACAGCAAAGCACATATGAAGTCAATTATTCTTCTGCCATATAGCTTATCTCATACTTTTCAAGAGAAACCTAATTTACAAGTCGGCAGAGATCCTGAGACACATTCCTTTCCTTTTTTATACCTCAAGATCTACAAAATCCCCGCGATTCCTTGCGATATCGAATGTACGACACCATCACCAATATTCCCCACACGCCCAAATAGGGAATTGAAGCAGGAGCGGCATCTTTTTGTCTCCAAATGTGCTGCCTTTGACGAGAACAATGCAGCTCAGAAGTGGCCTTTCGAGCAACTCCGTTTGGAATGGTAACGACCGCATACGTGAGGAGCATAATGCAAGCAGGAGACGCCTGCAATGCCTGCATGAGATGCCTGTAATCCAGGCATCCTCAAGTAGGTGAACGAAAGATGCTGGAGGCCGGATTCACATTCATACCGAGATAGAGCCTGACGTAGTTGTTCTGAAAAATTCGTTTCATCTGATCCTTAAAGTGTAACGGAATGTATATTTAGATCCAAAGTATACTGGGTGACGGAGTCACGCAAGAGTCTAAAATAAGTCCATAAAGACGCTCCGTCTCCTATCACTGAAAAGGCAACCATGTAATTCTCTGAGATGGAAAATATTTGGACACTTCCAAAGCACATCTGATACCAGAAAAGATATCAAATCCCGTCGTTTCACGAGGAGAAGATAAAGGGTGACCTGTCCTTGCTTATCTTCCATGTTGAGAAGTCTGGCGGACCTTCCTGAATCGTCTCGGAAAGGTAAACAGGGACAGTCGCTGGAATGGTAAAAGGCCTTCTCCTTGCTTTCATGCTACTCCATGATGTCAGTCGCGCATCTTCGATACTTTTTTTTAAAAAGCCTATTCTGGATTCGATATCTCTAGTGTGGTTGTATACAAAAAAAAGGTGAGGAGAGTTGGAAAACAGCAGAGTTAGGGAGAGAGAAAATATGTATTTGTTTGAGTTTCCATCAAGTAGGATTCGTAGGGGATGAAATTCAACTCCAGAGGATTATCTCGCTCTTTTCTCGAGGCTTGGAGTCGCAGAATGGAGAGGGAGTATATAAGAGTTGGAATTGGTCGCAGAATGTGTGATTGAGTCTGCAGGACTGAATGTGCTATAAGAACAACGAACAGTCGACTGCATAAGCTATGGAAAATCCCTGGTAACTTGAAGCTTCATCCAGCATGCGATGAACCGGTCCCAAGTCACTAGTAAAGCGGGACTCCAGCACCCACATCGTTTTACGACCTTATTGCAGCCTATGGCGTAATGGAGACATCTTGGTATGATTCATGATATGATATTGTGGACCAGGTCCCAATTTCCCTTCTAGTTTAAAATGAGGACTCATTGCTACCAACAAGTAACACGAGACTTACTCTTACTACTCTACTCTTATTCACTTATTTGTGAATGGATGAGTGGTGAATGTGCTCAACATTACGAATAGTTTATGCTATTATCCTTGAAATAATTGATACAAGAAAACCATGACTAGTTTACTTACCAGAAGCATCTTCAGTCGCATTTTGTAACCGGACTCCACATGACGTCGCGTGTCAGTTTCCTTTTTCTTTTGGTCTAGTTGCTTGGTTGGCAAGAATATGGTCATGCGAATAACGGTAGAGAGCCAAATTAGGGGGAAGGGGGGGGCATTGATACTGTCATGGATTATCACCAATATACAGGATTTTCCGGTAGAGTTCAAAATCACACCTGACTCCGACACTCAAGAGTAGTTATAGGAGGGTGTTGGAGTTAGCTTGAAAAGTATGGGATTCAAACGAAGAAAAAATCGTATCTACTCCATCTGTTGCTGCAAAGAAGTGAGTCGAAGATCCCGAAACACCTGCATCCGTCGTCCAATTTATTCCCTCGCTACAGGCTTAACGTTAGGCTGACGATGAGATGGCAGATTGGTTGCATTTGACTCACAATGGGCGTTTGGGATCTGTTTTCTTACTCTGATACTGTTGTGAAATTTCGAGTAGATCTTTCTATGTGCTTCATGCTCATCGACAAATGGTAGGGCGAGCTGCTTGGCTTGTGAGATCATAAGATTGAGGGCGTAGCCGATTCATGGTTCTACGCGTGTCAGCCAGAGGAGCTGAAGGTCCTCTGCGAAAAGGAAATGTCCGCGGCATCAGTGTAGGCCTAAGCATATCTGTTTCTGAATGTTGCCTGTTTCTTCACCTTAGTCCTTCAATTTTTCATATACTCCGACTTCCGTCGATGACGCGACACGTACATGGCTGTCGGAGTCAAGTAAAAAATGTTTCGGAGGCGCCTTAACCAAAGAGCTGCGGCTCAATTTATTTCAGGCCTATCTAAATTAATACGTCATGTTTCATTGTTTTTTATGCTAAGCCGAGGTGCTACAATCAAATGAGTCTTAACATTGCAAGGCTGTTGTAGACCAATATGAAGAGGCCACTTGAAATCCTCATTAGATGTAGGCCTAACTTCCTTCACATTGTTTCTGTGAAGAGGCCAAGATGCAGCTGAATTTGTTTCTGTTATAATGCCACAGAGAAGCATATTTAATCACCAACCCCTTTTTCATAATGGTCCTTTGAAGGAGTGAGAAGAAAGACATAAGTTTTACCAATTTAGATATATGGACAGATCCACCTAATGTATTTCCTAACTTGAGAAAGAAAGCACAAAATGAAAGAACCAACTCATCTCACCAAATGCAAGTTTTGGTCCCTAGACTGGTTTTATGTATGTGGGGAAATTACAAGTTTAATATACAAGTATATTTAGGTTAAGGCATAAGTGTAGTTATACCATATGGGAAAAAATTGGTTTTAAAATTATCCAGTGGATAATATTGTAGAGAGGAAAGCCATCTTTCCCTATTACCATGTTTCAACAAGAACACTTCTGGCTTTTCTAAGACTATCCTTGTTTGGCATATTCTTTGTAATACTATATCTTGTCCTGGTAAAATAGGCAAATAGATATGTGTCTCATTGCAGGTTTTGGATCCCATGCTCCAGTAGCAATGGGAAAAAGAGCCATGGGTCACATTAAGTGATCACTGGTGGTGTGAGGGTATGGTTGCCAAAATGTAGGAACCTGGTTGAGGAAGGGACAGTTCAGCCTCTTTGAATTTCCATCAGAGGCTGAGCAGGATGTCACAGGTACCAGGGGGAGCAGAGTTTGTTGAAGGGTGGAACATCATACAGACTCTAGGTGAAGGAGCATTTGGAGAGTGAGTTCCCCCTCCTTGACTTACATAGATGAAACGAAAATAAGTGTAGGGATGAGGACAGGTGTTTTGAAGTTTCAATGAATCCCAATTTAAAAAAAAATGATTTTCTTTTCCAATTCAGTGTGAAGCTCTTGATTAGCAGCGATGGGGAGACAGTGGCAATGAAGACAGTAGATCTCATGAAGCACCCAGAAGCTGTGGACAATGTGAGGAAAGAGATCTGTACACATCGCATGCTCGTCCATCCAAATGTGATCAAGTTCTTAGGGCAGAGAAAGGAAAACTTCATCCAGTACATATTCCTGGAGTATGCTTCAGGAGGAGAGTTGTTTGATAGAATAGGTATGCTTTTGGTGGTAAAAACCAAATTCAGGGATATGGCTTGGGCTATTACTATCAGTGTGTAAAGATATTTTCAAGATTTCTCTTAATCTACATCGTAGTTTGTAGTGAATGGCTTACTGACTATTTATGATTTGCATAATCTTAGATTAATGGAATCACAATGTCCAAAGAAAAGAGAAGAAAATCAGCTGCTGTGATAGAAGTACTTAGTTTGCAAATTCTGCATTCTAATTAGTAATATATTTGTGGGGAGAAAAATAAATTTCAGAATCATACAGGGTGGCCCATTTGAAAGTGGACCCGCTTGGCACTTGTTAGCAGCAGTGAAGGTTATTGGAAGTGAATGAGCGTGTGTTGTAGGTGATATGATACCGGGTACACTTTTAAATGGGCCACCCTGTATAAAAATAATGGAGCAGGGGAAGAGTTTTCATAAAATGCTTTCCTTCACTATGCTTCTTTTCACTCTTTAGTTTTATGTACCTCCTAATATGGACATGGCCATAACTTGTGTGTCTCTTTGGTGTTTTTGTCGGGAATTATCAGTTGTCCAAAATAAAAGTTTCAGTTATAAGAACATTTTGCTAATTATTATGTACTAGGGAGAATAGAAAAGTTTGTGGACTTCATATTCTATAACAGGAAAGATAAGACACTGATATTCATGCATTCTCTTGTAGTGAGCTTCCCCATACTGTTCTTGGGGTTGTCTTCACTGATATTAGTAACAATGGGCTAGAGTGGACAGAGCATTATCTTCTTCAAAGCAATATGCATCTGCTTTTAAATCTATAGTAATTATAACACTCCACTGTCTAAACACTGATCCTTTCAGTGATTCCACCAATCCTAGACACTTTGCAGTGGTCAGAAGTTGAATGAGGTCTTCTCTCCTCAGCAACAAGAAATTGAATCAATATATGCTCTACATGCACACACTTGCCAGACATGTTGTCTAACACTGCTCTGGTTGAGGTTCCCAACCTCCTGGAGCTATATCAGACAGGGTTGCCATCCTTGAAGAGGGAGAACATGGAGATGTTAGGAGCAAGTAATTACACATAAAAATTAAAGTCCACAAACTTTTTTACAGCCCTTGTAGTTGTGAAAATGTTCAATTTCCAGCCTGCCTTAAATATGCAGGATACATCCTTAAGTTAAATAAATGTGAATTTATCTTGTCCTTTTAGAACCTGATGTTGGGATGGAGCCTGTCCAAGCCCAAAAGTACTTTCTGCAATTACTCTCTGGAGTGGTGAGTTGAACTTTAAGCCTATTTTTGTCTTCTCTGCCATCCTATTCCAGGCCCATAAGTGATGCCATAGAAGAAAAATTGGGGCCAGGGCTTGGTCTTTGGTTTTCCAGGATGCGTGTCTCATAATTTTGCTTTGCACGCATCTGATGAACCAAGGTCCGCACCTGAGCCATCTTCATCGCTTCCAGCCCCAGTTTCCAGTTGTTTCACCTTCCCTGCATTTTCATCCCTGGCCTTGTGAAAAGCTGCTGGAAAGAGTGCTAGCATCACTATTGAAAACACCTTTCCCATTTGTATGCATTTATAACATGCACTATCTTTAACAATACATCATGTCTTTAGGAGTATTTGCATGGTCATGGTGTTGCTCATCGAGATCTGAAGCCAGAAAACCTACTCCTTGATGAATCTGATAATCTGAAAATCTCAGACTTTGGGATGGCCACAATCTTTCGGCATAAAGGACAGGTGATGCTCTCCTCCTTTACCTAAAACTTCATTGATTCCAACCTCTCATGATGCATTTTCTGGTTTTATACTCCAGGAGAGAACGCTGGAGAAGAGATGTGGAACTCTGCCATATGTTGCTCCTGAAGTCTTGCAGAAGCCTTATCATGCTGAGCCTGCAGATGTGTGGTCTTGTGGTATCATCCTTGTGGCCATGCTTGCTGGAGGTGAGATTTATGCTTGGTGTTATGTGGTTATTGTGGGATATTTGATGACTGACTACAACACCCATTGTCATTTTGAATACTCTGTTAATTTATCAATATAATTTTGCCCATCTTTTTTCCATGAAGTTATCCTACTTTTTTTGTCATCCAATTTTGGCAAAAGCAAAGAATTGGGATCAGTTTTAAATGCATGGGAATGAAAACTGTCCTTGAATGTAGGTTTGGTTCCCAGATAGAATATATTTCTGAACCAAAAGCATTTGACCTTGGCACTGCATCTTACAAGTTTGGAGTTGTTTTTTTAATTGAAGGTCTGTGGATTTTGCTTGATTAGAGTTGCCATGGGACTATCCAGGAGTAGATTGCCAAGAATACCTTGACTGGAAGGAATCCCACAAGTCCCTTATGAACCAGAGGCCATGGAGCAAATTTGACCCAATTGTCTTCTCCCTGTTCAGGAAGATCCTCCAGCCATTGCCTTCTCGCCGTTACAAGATTTGTCAGATTAAGGAGCATCCATGGATGAAAAAGGCAAAACTGAGAACATTAGGTGAGTTAACTCAGTTAACTGATGGAATGGTCTTATTTTGTTCTATTTCTAGGCTTCATGGATGTGGTTCTACATGGGATCAGGTACCCTTTTACCCGTGAAGGATTTCATATGCATTTCATGGGTGATAGTGTACCTGGCCCTGTGGTGACCATTGAACTTGCCCTTCAGTCAGGAAGTGAAAATGCATCAGTCTTCCCTTTGGTGATTTGGCTGTATGGGTGTAATGAAAGTGAGCCATAAAGCTAGACTACCAAAGGAGAGCCTGGAAGCTTTATCTTCATCATGTTCTACATCAGAAGAAGATGTTATGAGAAGAACCATGTTCTGGAGGTCCATGGTCTTTGGTGATCCAGCTGTATGGTGACTTTTATTGTGCATAGAGTTGGGTCACCATACCCTCATGTGCCCTTCTCATCTCTCCTGGAGTTTGCACTATCTTTTGGCATATGATTCAGCCATCTTCAGGAATTCTCAAGCATGCTTCTACATGCCTTCTATCTACAAGGTGTTCATATTTAAATGCAACATAGGAAATGTTTTGCTGCCTGTATGTGGAGTTCAGCTAATGCTACAAGGCCCACCAGGCTGCATACCTACAAGGAAACACACCAGTGATAGTTTTCATCTTTACAGATATGCAACCTGGTGAGCTTTAAGGCACTTGGTGAACTCCAAAGGCAACAATTTTCCCTATGTTGCATTTAAATACTAACACCCTGTGTTGTCACCACCAAGCTCCAAAATCTATAATGCTCTCCATTCTCATTCTTTGTGCAAAAAATGCAATGAACTCTCATCATTCTAGGTTCCAGCAATCTGAAATATTTGTTGCATGTTGCATCAGTGCTCAAAGAGAGAAACTTTTCTGTCTTTTCAGAACTCTTTAGATGAGTGATGTGCCTTGTTTGTTTAGAAATTGGCATTGCTTTATAATTGTTTTTAAATTGTGAGAGTCTTAAGGGTGAACAATAGTTGGAAAATCAGGAAGAAAATCAGAAAATCAGAATCTTGAAAAGCATTGGAAATATTGTGTACATAATGTTGTGTAATACATGCTGGTACCTCAACCAACATGGGAATCTTATTTGTCAACCAAGTGAATTTAGCAAAAGGTAGCAGTCATAAGAAATTATTTCTAGAAAATGTTTTGTAAATGATAATCCTAATACCCTAATTATGGGGTCAACTAGGTCAACACTATATTCTTGTATCATGTACATTCTTCTAGCATGTGATTCCCTCTATGTTAGGAACCCTGAGAGGAGGGGATAGTAATGTTCTTGAATTTGAGAAGCCCTGCATCATGTTTAAAAGACATAATTATCTTCATAATAACGATTCCACAAAGAAAATTTTGTATGCTACAACAATTGAAGAAATTTTTTTTCCATCAATTTCCCTGCAATTATGTTTACTGCTATTGATGCTTTTTTTTTATTATCATGCAAATACTTTACATTTGGAATGGTATGGTGTCTAATACACCTTTTTTTCTGCTGAAATCAGCCAAAGCACACCTTCAAAAGGATTCATTGGGGCTGTGCCCTTGTATTAATCTGGTACAATTTTTAATAGTTATTTGCATTTACTTGCTCATGAACATGAGTTTCCACATCTTCAGGGCCAATTTAAATTATTCGGAAGTTCAGAAGTTGGAAATATTTAGGCATTGGACAGTAATGTGCAAGGCAAGTCAAGGTCATACATTATTTAATACAATACTACATTTTGTGATGCATTGGAATTTATTTATTGCAAGTCATATCATTGTTTTCACTGTGACTTTCACACTCCTGACTTGGCATGGTTTTCAAGATTCAAGAAAAAGTTGAGCAGAGAGTTAGTCATGAAATTATTCAAGTCTCTAAATTTCAACAGGTCTTGTACATCTAGAGTGGGTGGCAAAATCTTTCTTAATGCCAGCACCTTTGGTCTGTCAATCTGAAACTATAGATTATTTGGGTAATACTATAGGATTTATTGTGGTGAAGGATCAGATAGTATCTATTTATGTCATACCATTTAATGTCTCCTTTACCAGACTTAGAGGGGGAATTCTGGACCCATAAAAACTGATTAAACAACCCACAATATGATTTAATGTTAACAGCCCTTGCATGGGTGGTCATTCGAGTTGGGTATTCATGAATTCCCACAGAATTGTCTGGCTTCTGAATGCTGGATTAACAAGAGGTAACTTTACTTCCTTGGTTACCTACTTTCTTACTTCAAACTTCTTCAAGATAACAACAAAACTCTCCTGCTAGGACTGATGTGTGCATGCATATCTTTTAATTGCTTCATGTGCTTATGCTGCTTTCATTCAAAATTGTTAAAAAGAATTGGAGGCTTCACCTTCATAGAATAACAATTAAAATTACCCAAGTGGATGGTTTCATAACTGCATGGCATGCCTTATGCATATTCCGAGGGACTCACCATTGATAGATGCAGAGAACCTTCATGTAACTTGTACAGATTGATTCTTGCAATTTGGAAATGAATCATATGTGAATAAAGACTCTGTTTGATCAGGTGGCGGATCAAGTGAATCATCTCAGTGGCCATTCCTCCACTCTGAGGCATCACCACCAAAACGTCTCATGTCAGAAGGGGACTTTGCTGGTTCAGGAAGTCCCATGAATGGTGCCATGTCTCGGCTTGCATCATCTCAACCGGATCCAGCTGTGGTTCATACCAGAAGTCCTGTGAAGCTGTGCAAGAACCAGGCTCCAGTCTTCTCTTTCTCCCAGCCTGCCCAACCAGATGATATGATCCTCAGCACTCAGATGAATGCCACTCAGATGACTTGCAGCCAGGTACACTTATTCCAGCATTTCTGTGTAAGCGAAAAAAAAGGAATTTCATTGCCTTCTGAGCTAATGGATGTTCTTGTCATTCTTCCAGAACGGGTTCCAGAAATTGGTGAAGCGGATGACAAGATTCTTTGTCAGCACTGACATGGCTGAGACCCTGAAGAGACTAGATGCAGCTGCTGAAGCTCTGGCTTATCGGTCTAAAGTTTCCTCACCTGGCATTGTACGTCTCTCTCCCTCTCCATCTCTCATCCATGTACTTTGCACCCAATATGAAGCACAAACCACAATAATGCTATCTACAAGACAAATTTTTTTCTAGAGCTCTGAGTTTCTATGATTGCTAAACTATCAGTGGGAAACCGTATAGCATGACTCATTCACTTATGCCTCTGCATGTTTATCAATGCAAATAAATGGAGCTAGCCATGCTTAATTACCTGACTGGATTCCATAAAAGTTCCTGGCTGGTGACGAGGCATGGCAGAAAAGCATGCTTCCTGTTCATTAGGGACCCTAAAGGATCTCTTGAGGGTCTTGAATTCAGGAGGCTACACTACATCATTCAGAGCTTTGAATTCAAGCCATTTGTTGTCAAATTTTATTCAAGTCACTCAACTAGGGTCTGTTAACAATAAATGTTTATCAGCTGCAGAGGAATTTGTTTTTGATGTGGTGACTGCAGCCAGTGTTAGTTGCTATAATGCTTGCCATGCTTACATTGTTTGACTATGTCTGGGTGGATCTTGTGTTGCAGCACAGTGGCCCATGAATGAATCTACAGGGTGGGCCAAAAAAAAAAACAGACAGTTTTCAACTATACACTACACTTCACTCGCTGCACATATTTTAATGCAGTTTGTGGCATTTGAAAGAGGAATGTAAAAGCTTTAAATGAGGTATTTACCTTTCAAATATCTTTTGCAGTTTCAGAAATTCAGGAGCTGATAAGAACAGCAAAGAAAAACTGAGTTGCCATGCTCTCTGAGGGAGATGGCATGTGACCTTTAGTCTTGAAGCAGCCCCCTGTCCAGTCCTGCAACAGCATAATTTTTGCTTGGTGTTTATATGAGCTCCTTAATTTCTGAAACTGTTGAAGATATTTGAAATGTAAATACACCATTGTAAAGCTTATTCATTTGACTTTCAAATGCTGCAAACCACATTAAAATATATGCTGTGATTGTAGTATAGTGTATCACTGTGAACTATCTTTTTTTTTGGCCCACCCTGTATGTAGGCTTTATTTATAACCAATTATTTGGTGATCCAATAGCACATCCACTCATACGATGAGTATTTTCAGGTGACACTGTCAACAATGGATCGTCGAAAGATGCCCCTGGCTTTCAAAGCAACCTTGATGGAACTGGAGGGTCAGATCTTGGTGGATCTCCGCCTATCACGTGGAGATGGACTTGAGTTCAAGCGGCATTTCTTATCCCTGAAGAAGCAGCTGGCTGACATCGTTGTAAAGGGACTTGTCACATGGCCTCTTGCAGCTGCTACCAACACGCTTCCATGAATGAACTCTCTACCTGCTGATGGTGAACCAGTGAGAGAAGACTAGGACTGGAGTTATTTTATGCTTTTTATTTCCCATGGCCAATGAGTATTCATACCAGGGACATTATGTGATCTGAACCCAGATGCACGTGAGCATGCATCTGGTTTCTATACCTTCGTTTCAAGCTCATGCAGTATTGAAGTGAGTTATTGGAAGTGCACAATCAATTGAGCACATGAAACTCGCTAGCACATACTCTTGAGAGCTTTTAGATCTCATGCTGTAATTTCTAAGAATAAAATTAGTTTTTTGGCATGCCTGCATCTTCTTCTCTTGTTTTTTTTTTTTTTGCTTTCGCGTCAGTAATCAGTGTTCGTGTGTCTGCTCTTTATACACGGCCACGCCTCTGATCCCAGTTCGACCATACTCTGCATGGCTTCCTCATTTGGTCCGGGGATGGTTATAGGCTAGGTGGCGTTTCAAAATTCGGCCCCCCCCCCCCCGAGCTACCTAAGTTCTAAATCAAAAGAATGTGGGAGATGGGGCCCTAATCTCTGTATTATTCAGATGCATTATGAATTTCTCCCTCTTTGATACATCAAGATGGAGGGGGACAAAGGGGCAGATGCCCCGGGCCCCACTCTTCCAGGGGGCCCCCGAAGGAAATTAAAAACGTTTAATAAAAGTATTGTATTTGCGTAAAGTAGCAGGGGTGGGGGGAAGCCCAAGAATTCACTTGCCCCGGACCTCGCAACTTCTTAATCTGGCCCTGGAGGAGACTTGTCGCTGATTAGGCACTACTTGTTGCCAGGTCTGCTTTCTATATAGTAGAATGAATAACAGTGGTCAAACATTATTCGCGCTTTGAATTAGCGAAATAGAATGGAAGAAAAAAAGGCTGGACTCAGCCACTTGTCCTAATCCCCATATACGATCTCGCAAAACTCCTTAATGCCAAAGGGAGATTGAATTTGGTATATTCTTGGATTCGTTGTGCAGCCTTTTCCACCTCTATAGTTAAGCAAGAAATGAGTTCCTCGCTGCTGCTTGTATTACCGAGAATTGGCAGTTGCTTTTGAATAGAACCTTTTTACCTGACTTTCTGAAATGTAACTTGTTAGAGGCAAAAGTTACTTTTAAAAATATAACTCCATGTTTCTGCGCTAATTTTTGCAAATGAACGCTTGAACTGATAGGAAAAGAGAGAAGCCAGGTTGCATATATGAGGAAGGTAAGGAGCGAGATGTTCTTGAAGCATTTTATCCATACCTTGAACCGAGTCGGAACCACCAAACCTCGTAATGATTTTTAAACACTGCACAATAAATGATCTCCGTGGGAATCACGGAACCTGCTTGCGAATCTCCAAAGTCGCCTTGCCCCAAAGAGAAAAATTCGGACTCCGCGAGACGTTTCGTCCGGCCGATTCTCTCTGGCATGTCATGCGATCATACAGCTAATCATGCCATTCGAAGAGAAACGGGAGTCGTGACAAGAGGGAAGCACTTTCCGCCTGAACGCAAAGGGCCCCACCCGCCCCAAGGGGATTCCTCGCGGTGCGAAACTGCAAGCTACTCCTCACCAGTGCGAGTTGGAGTCAGTAACCTCCAAGTTGCCCTGACCCCTGGATGTCAGTCTGTCCACCGTTCTCCGTGTGTGAAGACATCCGGTAACAGCATCTGTGGGGAAATTGGCACTCACTTTTTTTTTACGACTCCCAATTTTAAATGGGGTAAAAGGGGATAAAATGAACATGTACAGGAATCGCAAGATCAACAACTGCATTTTCTTACATTCTTCTGCTCTTTTTCCCCCACCGGTTTATATCTCCTCGTTCTTCTTTCCTGACTGGCTGCTTTGACAAGGTGCCCACAGGCCCTTGTTGCGACCCATTATTACACGGAACAGAGATTTATTATTTTCTTTCTATGACATGAAGGATTTCTCCATTATTCAAAATAATATTCATTTGTACCGTACATCAACATAGATTCATTTAGTCTTAAATAGTTGCAATACCACCCAGAACATTTTTTATTTATTAAGAGTATAAAAGTTACTATCCGAAAAATGTAACAAGTTACATACCTTATTTACCATATCTAGTTATGTATGCAAAAATCTCCAATATTTTATGTATATGTCGTAGGGTTTTGTGGAATTCAGGGGGATTCCGAATCTCCCTATGGAGAGACAGGATTCCACTAACCCGCGGGTTTAGCGGAATCCTCTCGAAAACCTCCATTATGTCACCTATGGGGATTCCAATCCCCGGATTAGCTTCGGATTAACTTCGGATTCCGGATTAGCCGCCAATGCTTCCATCATTTTGTTTACCCCTAGGGAGAAAGAGAATTATCAAGACACCCCGGGGGAAATGGAATTTCATTTCAGTCCACGTATAGAAAGAAAAAAATCATCGTCAATAAGATTCGAATGTCAATTAGCAATATACTTGTCTTATTTTTGAAAGTTGCAACGGCTTTCCCCCGCGACACTTGCATGTAATTTTTTTTTACACTGCACCTGCTGGTGCGACAAGACTTGCACTTGCAGCTGGGTCCCCACTGGCGTGGCTTTTTTCTGCCCTCAAAGCCTTCGCCTTCGTTGGCGCAACCACCGTCTTCCAAGCTTTCTCTTTCTTCGTTGGTGGCCATTCTCACGGCGCCGATTAGTCTATTCCCGACCAAAGTCTTTCGGATGCTTCCAAATAAAGACGGCTAATAAATTTGACGGATGAGATTTTCAGCAATAAATTCTAGGGTTTTTCCCTCGCCCATTATGGGAAGGGTTATAAAAAAAATAGCTAGGGTTGTCAACGTGTGATATAGATTTTTATGCATTTTCTTCGTGTGAGTGTCCTGCGGATGTCGTGGCGGCCATGGGAGAATTCCAACGGAATCTGACAACCCTGCGCATTCTTTCCCAAAATGGTGGCACTCACATGTCAATTCCAATTAATCACTTTATGGGTACCGAGAATTTTGGTCGGGAACAGACTATAACACGGTATACTTCAGCCTTCAAATATAAACGTAAACAAAAGGAGAATTGCCCTCGGCGGGACAAGCCGTGGGAAGGGTAATTTGGTAATTTTCAAGCCAGGGAGATATGGAATCACCCTAGGGTGTAGTGACATTGACGACTTTGAGAGGATTCCGATAAACCCGCGGGTTTAGTGGAATCCTGTCTCTCCCCAGGGAGATTCCAAATCCCCCTGAATTCCACAAAACCCTACGACATATTACATATTAAACGACTTTAACTGGATAGGTTGGATGTTGAATGTCTTTGATGATGCGGCCTTTGCCATTGATTCTTCTAGCATTGGGAGATTTGTGCTGCAACGTTCCAAATAGTGAAAAGAAACGGGTCGGTCCCGGTCGGTCTCCTACGCCCAGGCGTTTCATCAATGAAAAAGCTCAGACTTAAGTCTTAGCTTAATTTTAGCTTACATTTAATTTTTAGCTTAAATTTAATCAATGTCAAGGGATCGGACCGAGGAATAAATGAACGTGCTTTCGCAGCCGTGTCATCGAACTCGAATCGCAAGGGAAAGTGGAATCGAGGACGGTTTGCCTTTTTGACCAACCAGTCGTTCGTCGATGTCGGCTTCTTCTGTCGGCCGTTGCCGAAGCCTTGTCCTCATCCGAAGCCTGGGAAAAGGGAGACGCCGGCCGTCTGAGACTCGTGTGAAACGGTTTCTTTTTCGATTTTTCCCTTGAATTTTCCTCCTCGGTCGAATTCGCCGTATTCTCCCCAGGTCGAGATCGTCTGGAAGCATATGCCGAGATGGCAAAGAAAACCAGGAATCCCATGGCCTGCATTGAAAAAAAAAAGGAATATATAAATTAGCTTCTATCTTTCCCGCGAGGAAAGATATTTTGAAGATTTATCGGACAATTCTTTCAATTGATATATGTTTCCTAAACCAAAACGCGATTAACAAAACATCACTATCGTTAATGCAGTCGTGGCAATGAAATAACAACATGAATCGAACCAGGATTTGATTCGTGTACGGTAACCACGTGGTTTGTCCATAGACTTATGAATTTTTCCGTTGCCGGCTAAAAGAAAGAAAAATCCGAGAAAAAAGTGGGAAAATCCATCGACATAGCCCGACGCAATAATCCTCGATATGAGTTTTTTCTCGTTAAAAAAAAAATTGTTTGATTCATTGCACCCCATGAGAAAGACTCTTAGAAGGGATGCTTTCTCGTGTGAGGTTGTAGATTTGTATATTAGCAAATGCTCTTTTATAGCATTTTTTTAAAAACTTACTTAATCCAAATGTACCTGGCGTTTTATATATATATATATATATATAAAATAAATAAAATAAATCCTTCCACGGCACCTGCCGGTATTGGAGATATGAGGGGGGATGAACCACATCCCAGACCTCATACTCGTCTTAATTCTGAAGGACACGGCGAAGGATGCTGGCCGTGCCCAAGATTGCTGTACGCTGGAGAATATCCAGTGATATTTCACACTCCAGCTTCTTGACATGTCCTTTGAGGTCTTTCAGGACGACGCCAGTTGTGCCTATGATGATCGGAACTATGGTGG